TAAATTTTGAAAAGGGGCCATTTGACCCCGCTTGGTACGTTTAGTGTTAAAGGAAGGAATGTATCAAACGGAAAGTCAAAATTATTTCTGTTTACATACACACAATGTATCTATGTACGTATGAAATATATACATTTATATATATATATATATTTACATTTATATATTTATATGTATAAATATTTATATTTTATATGTACATATATGTATGTATAGTTATTTATTGCATATAGCAGCTCTATTGTTGACGTATATACATATATTTAATATATAATTCTATATTGCGCAATTCGCTTATTTGTAACTTATTGGACTACGATGCTAACTAACGAAGATAGATATCTACAAAAGTTAATAGATATTAATTATAATAAATTATATATATTTAAAACTCTAAAATTTGTACAAGTAGCTAGTCACTAAGTCATAAAATTACTCGGCATATGTTACAGATTATTATGCAAAAATTACGTATAATCAATACAATCGGTGCAATCTTTAAACAGGTACAAGGATTCGACTTAATCGACACTTAGGTGGCTATTATTTCGTTCTATTCTGTTCGTTGATGATAATCGTTAGTAGTTTGAGCTTCGTGAGAAATAAAACGTAGAGAAAAAAAAAAAAAAAAAAACAAATAACGCCTTAAAATCTGCCGCAATGTGATATAAATCTAGTACTAAAACTAAGTAACAATGAACTGATAAAAATGAATAAACAAATGTACATACTTTCGAATTGCATTTGATGTATTCGTTTTGGTATACTTGCCCGCGGTTCGATGGTATGTATTGTATGATAATAGCGAATCCCATCGAATGCATCGCCCGATAACTCGATTGTTAATTCCTGACGATCGATCGTCATCAATTTCCAAGTCGAGATCTCTTCGTTGAATTTCTTTTTTTTTTTTTTTTTAAATTTTTTTTTCTCTTTTTTTTCTTTTTTTCTTTTTCCTCTTTTTTTTCTTTTTTTTATTTTTCTCTCTCTCTCTTTCCGCTTTACGCCCTTTCCGATATATCGTTCTTATACGGTTGGAACAATTTCGGCGCTTCCTTCGTCGGCATGCTGGCGTACGAATTCTTGGCGTCGAACGTGCCTATGCTCTGGATGTTGCCAGGCAGGCCAGCGATGCTGATCCCAGCGGGTAGTTTGATCGGTTGCACGCTGTTGGGATGGGCGGTGTTGGGTGTCGGGCTCTTCTCCTGCTGTATCTCGTGTATTCGTTGGTGTTGCTGGCAAGTGTGGTGGTGATGCTGATGCGATTGCGTTCCGACGCAGTCGCACTCGCTCGAGGCGTCCGACTGAGCCGGGCTCAGCTCCGGGAGCATCGCTGGCCGATAGGAAGCCGGCGCGTTCGTGGGTGGGCTGTTCACCTGTGTTGTTGGGAAGGCGGCGTTCCCCACCGTAGAAACGCCCAGGCTCGACAGATGCAGGGGTTGCAACGTGGGGTGAGGCTGCAGGAGATGGGGATGATGCGCTGGATACGCGGCCGCTGTGCGCGGATGCGGCCGATGAAGCGACGACGCGTTGGTGTTGGTCGTCGGAGTAGCTCCCGAATATGGCGTGTACCTGACCGCGTAGTACGCGGCAGCTGCCGCCGCTGGGTAACTGGGCGCCAGATGGGCCGGCGGCAGACCCGGTGCCCCAGGGTGATAAGGCGGTGGCGGCAGACTCGCCGTCGCCGCAGCCAGCAGGGTAGCCGCCAGCGTCGGGTCCGTGTACATCGCGTACGGCCACGCCATCGCCATCCTCTGCCGCTTGTCCTTCATGCGACGATTCTGGAACCAGACCTGCAATTACATGTGATCCGAACGTTAAATCGATCTCAACAAATGGTTAGATGGACTTTGTCGAATTTCTAAACCTCTTGAACCCTGAACTCATGTCGTGTCACGCTCGATATTAAGAAAAAAAAAAGAAACATATAGTTTGGAGAAAAGACATTAGAAAAGATGTTTCGCAAGCTTTTCTTCTTTCAACACTCAAACTAAAATCCCCGTAGCACCGGATCACACACAAGCTTGAAAAATACACATACTCTGTTCGAACGAAAATTACAAATTTCAAAGATTTCGATGCTGTTGGAAGGCATGCGAATATCTGATTGGTATCCTTGGGATGCAGACACTCGATACAATTTATTATTGACTGAGAAACGCCGCATAAGCGAACAAGTTCGTGTGGCAGAGCGTATCGATAGGAGCGATAGGAGGTGAATTATCTATCCCCCGTTTGTCCTTCTGTCGTCTCTTCAACTCTCAACACGCGGATGCTGACCGCGGTGCCTAACGTTTCTACCATTTAACACCTTGATCATTTCCATCGGTAGATGGTTTTATAGCCATTGTGCGGCCGAGGTAGCGCGAGATGAGAAATTAAGGGATCCATTAAAGTCGAAAGGTAACAGGGGGAAACCGCTAATTAAAGTGTTTAACACCTCGGACCGGATCGACCGGTCGTGGTCGAAAGGAATTAAGAAGTCACGGAAAAAGGATCAAGGGGGATCCAAGGGAGCGAACCGAAAGACCAAGAGGCTTTTGTTTGCCCTTCGTGATTGACTGTTTGCACGGACGTCGAGGCGAAAAGGGAGGGGGAAAATAGCTAGAGAAGAAGGGAAAAGGAATCCCGTGAAGGGGCGAGTGTCTCCTTCTCTCTTCGAGTTATAATCGCCGATCAAACATGGCGGTGTGTCGGTAAAAACGAGCGACGCGACGC